GTAATACTACTAATACACATGAATGGTTATCAAAACAATATTTAAATACGTGAGTGATAATTATGTGAATTTTGGACAGATAGCTAGAAGCAAATCGTTAAAAATGAGTGTATTCGTAAGAGACATGCTCTAGACTCAATGTTCTGATCTGTGGCAGACTATTTACTTGTATTTATACTTGCCGGCTGATTGGACATACAAGTTAGTTGCAAGTATGCAGTTTATCATAAGGCGGAATAAGATTAAATTGAGATATAGTGGTTATAGGTTATTAAAATCAGTTAGGCCTGTGTCATATTACGAAGTGATGTGATGCCGCAGGATGTATTCGGCTAAATAAGCTTTTACAAGATGATTAATAGTGAGTGCTGCTCATGTGATTATCAGGGAGAACATAAGTTGTAACCAAGGGGAGTACACTCCCAACTCATGTCTATGATAATGGCTTGAACCTTAGTCAGTGTTGGGGTAAATTCGACATTGATGTTTTCAGTTTGCAGGAGATTTGCTCGACTGCTTATACTGATTATTTGCATGCATGATTGTGTCGCTAAACCATCAATTAGACTGACAAGGTTTTGAGATATTTACTGAATGAGCAACTGATAGAGAAACATACTGTAATCATCTGTGATGGATGAAGATACCAAGAAAACAACACCATTTAATGGTAATTATAAGTCAATTTGTTGACCGATTTCGTTAATAGTTTTATTTTATCAGTCATATTACGTGATTGTCAAGTTATGACAATGCTTTATGACGATATCCTGAAACTATTAAATTTAACTAGTTATAGTGTTGATTAAGGATTAGTCAGTAGAAAAATAGGTATTGTTGCTTTAGGTGATTCAAAATCATCAGAAATTTATAACGTTAAAGAATCCGAGACGCCTAATTTAATTATAAATTTCAATTTAGAAATATTCGTTTAGTGTTAATTCTAGTAGGCTACGGAGTTTTGATTTTAAACGTTTGTTTAGCCAACAGCCACCTAGGGATTTAGTTATTTTACTAGTGCAGTTGATAGTACCTAAATTCTTAATCTCATTATCTAAACTATGTTCGCATTTTAGGCTGCTAATATGACAAACCAATCGATAAACCCAAATACGATTAGCAACAACGACTATGATGGGTTTATTGATAAATGTTAAAGGCGATCCAGATGATTTCTAAATTTATAAGACATGGAGATATAGTGTAACGTATGTATGGGCCAGGTTAACATGCAGGTTGTTGACGTATATGACGATTTAAAAATAATGAACATGACCAGAAAATAATTTAAGTTTAGACTGCTTGTGAAACTTCAGGCAGGAATATGATGCGTTATAAACATTCCATAAGGATTTACTGCATTTAGCCTAGGGACACTTACAAATATATAGCAAAAGGAACCGGAAAACATATACATGTTAAGTAAAAAAATCATTAAGTAAAATAGTTGAACTCGCCTGGATTATTTTTGAAAATTAGATTATTCAGTGAACGACATATATAACGCCATTCGTAAGGAGTAGTAATGATCCAAAAGCATCCAGAATAAAACATACAGTATGGCAATCACTTCCAGGGTGCTTGATGCTGTTGAGGTCTTTGGGATTCGCTCTGATCAGAACAACTGAATGAATCCAGATAATTGTGTGTGCCATATAAAATGAACTTATGATTGCAGAAAACTTATAGCTGGAACTCACCGTATGTTTTTGGAGTAGTCATCCTCGTTGTTTGGCAATGGAACTCGAGAATATGAAATTAGGCAGGCAGTGGTCGGAAGAAAAGATATTACAGGATAGTGTATAGTTTAAAACAGGATGAGGTAATAAGATAAGGAACACTGAATATTAGATCCAGATAACTATTTAGTCCTTGATCGCATTGTTAGTCAATGTATATTTACGCTATTTACAGGTCATATTTGCCAGAGCTTGATGTTTAAACAAGACTATGTCGCTGAAGCATGTAAATGCTATTACAGCTTGTTAACAAATCATCAAAGCTAATTAGTTAATATAGACGACCAGTTTTTATTATCGATTGAGCTAGTTTGTCATGAGGACTAATCAATATAACATTACGATAATGCATGTGAGCATTAATCAGAGGACTATTGGAATACAGGGTTAACATAAATATAAAATCGATCGAGAAAGTTGAAGTGGAAATAAGGATTATTAATAATAGGTTGCGTTTCTTTAGTTGGGCTCACCAATGTAGAATTATGATCTACTATGATATTAGTACTGCTCTAATAATAGACCTAATCCTAAATTTGTAGATTCGTCATGATATAACTGCCTAATCTTTAAGATCTTACGTGGAAGTCACACCATCGACTACGCCAACTCACTGTATCGTATCAATTACCAATACATGATGAAGAACCAGCTTAGGTTAGAGAAGGAACAATATATTTAATATGAATAGAGACCACGCCTGCATGGCCGAGCCATGCCACTCGATCAACTCCAGTCCATTCAATTCATTGTTCGCGCCTTCTCCATTGTTAGGTATTTCTCCGCGTTAAATATTGAATATCTATTTTCTGAGTAGTCTCGTATTCACAGCTTTGTGGATTGTGTGGCTATTGTCCAATGCCACTACAACCATTCGAATCAGCATACGAAGGACCCTTTAAAGTTCTTCAACGTGAATCTAAGTACTATATAGTCGATAAGAACGGAACCAACGATAGCATCAGTATCGATCGCTTAAAAGCAGCGTATTTAGAAGGAAATCCCATCTACGTGGATTTTCCTTCGGTACAATCGAACGACACGACTCCGACACTTATAATACCTCATCCGACAACCAACACACACGATGATACTTCGACAGTATCCGAAAATAAACTTAAAACGACGCGTTCTGGAAGAAGGGTGAGATTTCCAGAACATTTAAACGACTACTGCACGTAAGGCACTTCTCGAAATTTTATATTATTTTTTTAGAAAAAAAACAATTTTAATATGCTTATATATTTTTATTTAAAAAAAAAGCAAAACAAAAATAAACAATTTTTTAACGCTATGACGTGTTCATGAGTTTATTTTCCATTTTTTTCCGCCGACATTGTGTTTTTACGCACATACGAGTGTATTTCGACATGCACTTACTTTTTCTTTTCCAGGACGGCTGGAAAAGAACGATGACGTTTATGAGGATCCGAAATTTTCATTGTACATTTTATTTTTTTACTATGTTGTACCTCCGTCCCATATAGTAAGGAAAGACGACCAGACGCTGCTAAATTTAGTAAGCTATCAGAAGAGTGTTTACCAACGACAAACTCGTTGGGTTTAAACTTCTGGCTGGCCACGTCTTAGGGTCGTCACTGCCCCACTAGGGGGGGGAGTGATCTGTAGCGGTAAATAAATCCCCAAAATAAATAGCACTAAGTTTTCGACATCGGATGCTGACCATATGTTTTAGTGGACTCATCTAGCTGAAGGCGCTCGGTCAGGCATCTGCACCAGATCACGTGTGGCAACGCCGTGCTCAACATCAACCGCAATCGCTAGCCAGACTAGATCAGAGAATTCCGATATATTGGTCATCGCCAAATATACTCTTCCGATCTCCTTGACTCTGTCTTTTGATTTCTCTGGGCGGGAACGAAATATATTAGAAGGTGTTGCTGGTAGAAGCGTTGTCAAACACTGAATACCTGTGACATCATCAATCCAGTCACTCTTATTTTTGGTAGCCTTCATTGTTTTCGAGCTCAGTTAGACAGCCGTGAGAGTCCATATACTTTTCTAAGTGTAGATACAATTCACAATTAGGAAACACTATCAGACTAAACAATAACATGGTCGTAAGTAATGAGTTTAATTTCAGAACGATGAGTGGGAAAGAGCCCAAATCAATAATGTGGAGCAATAATAAAAAAAATTCACCACCATCAATAGAGTGAAGATTAAACCGTGACATACTAATAAGGTCAGGTATGGATCAACTACTTAAATTGTGTAGGCCAGTGATTGAAAGTCAGACTACACAGTGACTAATTCGAGCAGACCTCAGTTATCGACACAGATCACTCCCGCTGGTAATACAAAGACCAGCGAATATTCAGTCACCTTGGACGTTTATTTCCTCTTATGATAGTCTTTTGATTGCCATTGCTCTTATTACTGCTCGCCTTTATTAATTTGTATCTGTTTCATTCTTACCCTTTTGAATGAATAACGTTTATCAGATTTCTGGAATGGACTCAGGGGTGAATCTTTCAATGATATGCAATTAGGTAGTGGTTTGCGCCTGGCATGTGTAGAGGAGCTTACAAGGAATGATAGGTTAAGTGAGCCGATGACTCAGAAAGCACAAATAATGGAGTTACATTCAATTGTGAAGCAGACCGACAAATGAAAATGATACAATCTTAAGCCAAATAAATTAGAAACTGTGAGTTAGTAGTAAACGTGTCACAGATACTCATGGTTTGACAACGTTGTGTTCCGTAGCACTTTAAAAACCAAGGTTTCTAAGCGTTGTCAAACACTGAATACCTGTGCCATCTTCACTGTCAAAGCAGGAATGAAGGAGTTCGAAGATATAGTTGGAAGGTAATCTATATATCACGAAGTATATTATCTGGGTGGACCAGTTATTGCAGGGAATTTTTAGCACGGAGTTCCCGACAGTGATCTAATGAGGTTGCTTGACTGTGCAATATCACCAGGATGTGTGCAGTAGAACTAACGAGATCAGGGTCAGTACTGAGGACTAGCAGAACTACTTATTCTACGGATTCATTTGTCACTACAGTAGAACAAGATTTCAAATGAGTTACGCATTATTTACGTTTAACAGTGTTTAGAGCTAAAGGAAAATTCATCAGTAAACAACATACGAATAATAAACCGTTTAGAGGCATACATCTGCTTTTCAAATATCAAAGGATCATGTTTACATGGTATTGAGTGAATAGATGTCAGGGTGGTTGGGAAAAATCATTTCTCTCACATCTGAGTTTGAATGCCTCAATTGTTACCTTGAAATCTATGGTTACTGCTTGAGCAAACGCGATCGAAATATAATTTTTCATGTAATGAAAATATCTACTCAGTAACCATGATTAGTTTTGAATTATCCAAATGTAGCTCGAACAAAAAGTGAAGTTCGACTACGTTACTGCCTTAGGAAGGAGATTTTCAGTTTTTGCACAATTTTGTGTCAATATTAAACATGTTATCAAAGAACTTTATTTGAAAGCACACAACACTTTCTGAAGGGATGTACGCCGTCTGATTGATTTGATCTCTAAATTATCGGGGAAGTCTTTAAAAAGATCTCATACTTTGAGGCGTCTGAAACTGTAGGAAGGTAGTATAAACTTTATGCTGTGTAATATATTCTTATTTCGAAAAGGTCTCAGGCTAATAAAAGGAACATGGTGACGTTCTACTTAATATAACCAGGGTTATTTTTCACTTGTTCTGTCACGATGAAACTACATAGTCAATGGAGATACCTAGACAGAAAGACATGATTATTCTGGAATACTTATAAGTCAAGTTGTATTTATGGCTCAAATATATGAATTATTTAAAAAAAAACTTTTTACACGGTTCTAGGGTGTTGAGAAGTGATACTTTAAAAATAATAATAGGTGGTCAGCGTTTGGTACTGATACCAGCTGAAATAAGCTTAACTATTTTCATGGTTCGTATTTACTTCATAGTAGGTGACACGCTGTTTACGTGAGCCGTCTTCCATGACTCTGATAGCCACATAAGTAACCTTTTAACTGGGATTGAATAAACTGCCAAACCTATGTACGAACACTACCCAATCTTGTATAGTTGATTGACTGAATATGCAAGTAATTTGTCATAGTAGTGTTTGGCAACTCAGGCTTGAATCTATTAGATTTCACTGCATTACGATCAGCAAACCATATTTTGCAGTGCTGCAAATCAGATGTTCTGATTTGGATCGCACAAAAGACACTTATGTCCTCCCTTTTTGTTAAAATACAGGATACTCCACTGGATTTGCTAGTGAATGTTGAAAAGGACAAGCCTTTATTAAGATGCCTAATTTCAGAATAGGATTTGATGTCAAGACAAGGACTTCATATTTAGTGCTCAATTAAATCTTCTTGCTAAACTTGGTGGATTTAGACAATCACTATTGTGCAGCATAGATATCTCTGCAAATTTATTAAGCATGAGTAGGCCAATTTCTCCTCCAACAGTATAGTGGGAAGTAATAAGAGGGTAACCTAAGTTGACTATCATTACCTAGCAATTTGCACGAACCTGACCATATTTGTATACTAAAGTGCATCGAATACCATTCCGGGGAACTAACTATTATTAATGGATTTAAATACAAAATGTGCTAGGAACTGCCTAAGATATTTAAGGTACAAATATCGTACATTTTAGTTCTTCGGATTGACTAATGTGACCCTTCTTTTTGTGTTTTTACATTCGTATTCAAAATCTCTTGTTGTAAGATGAAAAATGACATCATCCGCCAAAAAACAGAAAGCTAAACTAACGGAGGAGACGATAACTGAATACAAGGCACAATTCGATGCATTAGATCATGACAAAACGGGGAAAGTCTCCGTCCCAGATGTAACTGTATTAATAAGAAGAGTAGGTCTGATGCCATCAAACCTAGAAATTGAGGTGAGTTTATCCATTTTGGAATCCCCACTATTAAGGGTCTAAAACCTAATCAATGTACTGGTTAAACTTATGATGACGTAAACATATTTAACTAATGTGATAAGTTTAGTGACTTATGTAGTCGGGATTAAATATGTCAACAATACTTCAAGCTAGTACTTATTCTAACAAACCAAGGGAAGAAATATTTGATGCGTTTATAAATACAGAAAGAGAAGAGTTAGGAAGATACTATTTCTTTCGTAGTATATGCATTAAAATTTAGTAAAGCGATACATTGACTTACCTCTCCAGTTGTTTCTTAAAAGTTTGTGCAAATGCACTTATCAAAGACGAATGCTAGTTATATTATGAGCGGTTTAAATGTAACCTAATAATAACATTTCTACACAAATGTCCTGACTGACTAGTATAATTCTAAGTCTGTTGCTATATCTTTGTAGCTCAATTATAATTCCATAAACTCTGCCTAACGGGACAGAACTACTAATGATTCCTGTTCGATATGAGCTAGGCTAAGGTTTAATGTAGCATACTGAACAGCAAAGGAGAAACACTCGATAAAGTTAGATGTCTCGAGATCAAACACCACATGATAATAATACTTAATGCATCAACCAAATAAATATTGTTTCATCAATATGGTCCTTAAAGGAAAGTCTAAATCATATAAGGTACTGCAAAATGTGACCTGGAACTAAGTAGCTAACAAATACTGGAAGCACGCTATCCACTACTGGGTAATGCATTACCTGTATTTATTGACTTGGGTCTTATATAGATGAAAGGGAACAAGAATTACGCAACTAGAAGTTTAAAGGAAACATCTACAAAAAGAGAGTCAGACCTGCCTTAACTACTACAGCTGGTTTGAGAAACAACTTTTTTAGTATGTAGTGCTTATTTACAAAGTAACCGCTAGTTCGGTTTATCCAAAATGAAAACATTACTATACCAAACGGTGGTCTTAGGTCAGTGCACGCTACGGACTAAACAGTACTGCCAACTCCTAGTAGTGGTGCATATTTCATTACCTATTGTGATAAAGAAGTTTGACTACTTCACACACGAAATCCAGGAAACTAACATAAATACATATGACATCTATTGTAATAATTAGTGTAAGCATCGTGCACCTGTTAAGACACTTTGGTTCCTTGAAAGAGCATATCCGGACCCACTGTTGACTTCTACATTCTTTTATTTTCCGCATCCAGCAACATCTCCATTTATACTTCGTATGAAAATGCCCGATACAAGAGTGATACAACATTTTAGTGGGTTAGAAAGGAGCATATGATCCTAAAAACCATAATTTTAGATGCATGTAATCAGTTTGTACATCTATTATCTTTTAGGTATTCAGATAATTTTTAATACCATTAGGACAGAATCGCAATCTATTTATCAATGCCCTAACTTCAAAATATCTTCCGAATCTAAAAAACAGGGATGTAGGTGGAGTATCACCATGTACCTATGGAGCTTTATAAGTGAACAACAAAGTTGTGAATCCGGTACTTAATGGAGGAATGTAGGAAAGAATCCCAGGGATCCTATTAGTACTGAAATGACTTAGCTTCTGTTCAAACAGTGAGTACATTATTAACTTCACCATTAGCTTATACGGTTAGTAAACTAATCAAAAGATGTATTAATTGTTGGGTTTTAGGAGTTGATAGCTGACGTGGACAAAGAGAAAACAGCACTTATTGAAGGTATAACGTTCGATCAATTTTGTGAAATAGCATCACGAAAGTACAATGAAATATACACGGAATCAGATATCATTGAAGCTTTCCGTACATTTGATGTCGAAAATAATGGTTTCCTTTCAGCTTCTGAACTTCGTCGTGCACTGTGTACGGTGGGTGAGAATCTGACTGAGGTGGAAATGGATGCAATGTTAGAAAAAGCTAAAGTTGATAGTGATGGTAACGTGCACTACGAAGAATTCGTTCGTTCTATAACATCAGACCTTTGATAAAAGTTAAGAAAGTATTCAAAGCGAATACAATATGTGAAGAATAAGATGATTTCGAAGTAGTGATTATTTTCATTTTGCGATTTTGGCATCAAATGTCTAATATATATCTAATCGTCTTAAATAGATGTATTAACCAAAGTTTTGAAATTTACTTCTTAGATTAAGTGTTTTGTATTAATTACCTTATACGTTTACATGTAAAACACATCATATATAATTTGAGAAAAGGCGTTGAACAAATCGAAATTTAGCAAATATAAAAATACATGGCTGATGAAGAAACTAGTGCTAACATAAGTGTACTGTGAAATCGTTCGAGCATCTTATGGGACCAGATAAAAGTAAAAACTTTCTCTTCACAATTGATTGCGTGTCTAGTCCTTATTAGTGCAGATCGAATGCTATTGACCTCCAACCACCATCTAATCTCAATATATAGTGCCCGCGGTGTCGAGTCATCTAGGCTGGTGGCCACATTGCAGCATGATTGATATCATTCGATCTGCACTAATAAGGACTAGACACGCAATCAATTGTGATCACATCTCAGTCCTACAGGAGGTCGGTCGCGGCTCGGATGGCTCAGTGGTAGCGTCTGTGACTGTGAAGCTGGGTGACATGAGGTCGAATCCGCCAGGGAGCACCAGTTCCCTAAAGATTACAGGTACACCTTGCTTGACGAGTGCCAAGTAGCACGAAACTCGGGTCCAGGGTTTCCTGTCGACTACCTCCAACCACCATCTAACTTTCTCTTCAGCTAAAACTATTGAACTTTGGGATTAACAACTGCACATAATGAGCTCGTGTTGAATGACTAACAATACAATGCCAATTACAAGTAAATAATTCCTAACTTAGTCTAGTATGATTTAATTCTAAGAACATTGCAGGTTAACCGAATCACGAAAGACGAATAACAGCTGTAATTAGTGAGCAAAGATTCATACCATATCCCAGTTAATATCTACTGGTCTCACAACAAAATATACGAGAGAGAACTGTAATTGAGTAACACATGTTGTTTGATAAAAATCTTAACTTCGAGTTTTTGGCTCACGTTCCACCAAGGTGAAAAAGAAAGTCACTACTCAGTTCTCAAACTAGTGGGTTATGTGAGCAAATCCTAAGAATGAAACGAAGTTCATTTAAACTAATCTGCGTTTATACTTAATAGTAAACTAAGCGACTTCAAGTCTCGATCTTAAGGTTATTGACATTTCACATCTAAGTAGTTTTTTAAGCAGAATACATGTTTCTATCTTTTTTTGTCAAAGAACGAGACTTATCCGCAAGCGAAATGGCGATAATACTATTCAACACATTGAATGAAAAATGAAACACCATACAAATAATCGTTTTATGAATTAGGGTTTTCTATTGAGATTTATGTACTATGAAACTATTAACCTAATAAATATGTGGAAACAAGTTTATATTTTTAAAAAAACGTCACACTTCAGCTCCAAGGTAGCTAGATATAACAGACAATGGTGATGCTGAACCGAAGTATGAATCTTGAGAAACATTTTGTTTCAAACGCATTTTTTTCCGAAAGCTCTTTAAAAACATATCCTGCCTTTCGATTAAATGGGGAAGTTTCTCTAACTCAAAAAATATATCATTATGTGTGTCTAGAAGAGAGTCCGCCAAACTGTCCAGGGAATCATAGGAATCAAAATACTTTTGGGGAAAAATTATATCTTCATATTTACGGGTTACACGATCTGTCTTAATCCATTCTTCGGAAGGCATATCGATTCGATTATCGGCCGGAATCAAACGTGTTTCATATTCTTCTACCAACTGATCCCACTTCCGACTTTCATCCTGATACCTTTTGGCAAGTTCATCAGTTAGTCCGTCGTCATTAATTTCGATATCTGACTTCACATCACTAGATAAAGTATGCTCATTTAAATTCTGTTCAGTCAAACAAGGAGGACATATAAGAAGACTCTTTCTGGTAGACTTTCTTCTCTGAGTACGAAAGTCTGGAGTAGAATGTTTAACTTCTTCCAACATCGATAAACTGTTAAATACACATGATTTAAAAAAAAACAAATGACACGGTAAATAAAAAATAACAACTATCATTTAAGATACTTTAACTAGTTGTATATATCAGTAGATATGAACTTAATTCAATAAAAATCAGAAAGTAGAAAGCTTGTGAATGTATTTCTTAAAATTAAAACATTTTTCGAAGTGTGGTCAATAACCAGAGAACTTCTCGAGGAAGCTTTATTTTTTACGTTTAAGAAAGGAAGCAAAGTGTCTAGATAAACTTTAACTATAGTAAGTCGATAATCAATGGGAAAATTTGAAACATCCATGGGAATATTTATCATATTTTTAATTATTAAAGTGGTTCTATAATGACTTGGGCGAGGCAAACTAATTTATTGTATTAAGTAAAATCATACTGCATTTCTAAAATATGAAAACAATACACTGAATACATCATTTGCATATTTTCCTTGAATTATCTCTTACAAATTCCATCGTTCTTGCATTTTCATTACTGCTTGAACTGCTTCCATCATTCTCTTTTCATGATGTTCCTCTTTTGTCAGTAATAATCCCACTTCCAATTTTTGATACATACTACTTATATATGTCTGCATGAGTGACACACATCACAGTTCTTGTTTGGAAACAATAGAAAATACATTCAACAAGTTGTTATTGACATTAAATTTGCTCTTAAGTTACAAACAGTAATAAGTTCTTATATTGTTTACATCGAATCGGAAGTCAGTGCTAGCACTGAATATGTATATTATCTTCCCCAGTGGTGAGCTCATGATTTTATTCACGTCAAATCTGGTACAACTAAGCACCGAAAATAGTATGCGTCACACTGAATATTCAAGTATGGAGTGTGAGATTGCCGGAGTACACAAACAGAAGCAGATGGTTTTCTTAAGAGCCAACGCTCCGAGACTTCCAACTAAAGGCTCAATTTACAAGTCAGTAGAGTAATATCAGATGAGGTTCTATAGTAGTTGGTAACAAAAACAGATCCATACATGTTGTCTCTTGAAACCCATGTACGCCATTAGTTTGGGACCGGAGCTTTGAAACTATCCTAAACAGACCCTCCGTATCTGTCGACGCCATTTAAACTCTGGAAGTTTGCCACCGCCACATTACCGTGGCAAGACTTACCTGACGGATATTATAAACACTATCGCATAAAGGCATTTTGAAAAGAGCGGACTCTTTCCACTCTGGGTAGTACCAAGGCATTAAGGGGTAGTAGTGAGATAGTTGAACGAAAACGATGGAAGATGCTTTGACATCATGAGAATCTGTGGAGAGTGGAATTTCCCAATCAACAATTTGAATCCCTCTTTCGTTCTTACCTTACATGGATAATCTATCAAGTATTCACAGTCATTTGCTCCATTGCTTGCTGGTGACATTAAAATATGGGAATGCATATAAAGTGTATCTGATAAGTTTGCACAAAGACTTAAACGGATCGGTTGAGTGAACAAATCAGTGGTCATTAGTTATAAATTTCAGATTTTGTCATAAAAACTACACAATAAATGAAATGGGATTACTCAAAGTAACCGATTACATAGATTTAGTAGTTGTAATACGTGACCTTAGAACTGCAGGCTACTGTCAGATAGAGACCTCCACAACCAACTCATCGATGGATCCAAAATGATCACATTGCCATTAGACATTGTTGGAGAGGCTCGACTAAAAATTGTCGCCGATTCTGGAGCACATGTGTAGACTCGTATTTGTTTGTATTACTGTATTACTTTGAATGACATGGCTTTATATCGTTTGTAATTGCACAGGTGCATCCGTTTTTTGTCTTCCCCAAATCCTGAAATTCTAAATTCCTCATAACTATTTTGTTTTCATTTCACTAGTGTATAGTTTCTCTTTGAGTCGTGTCTTTGATGCCTGATCTTTCGTGTTATCATTGATACTGTTACTACCTCTACTATTCTGGGATTCGGTCTGACAATTTCATCTCTCTGTGCTAATGGGATATGGCAACTTGAACCGATGTACATACGTACCAGGTTCTACGTTGTGATTGTTTGACTGACCTGGATTGACTCATTGCGTCTAATGATATCACAGTATGATGCCAGTGTAATCGAAGCTTTAGACTTGGTGTTTTTGCTTGTTGATACTCATCAGTAAGTCGTGTGTGGCATTTCAAAGATGCTGATGTCTTCTCAGAGTTGTGAGCCGCCACACTTCTTTATCATACTAAGAAACGATAGCACTGAGATATTTCAGTTATGATTGTTCAATTCAATCATTTGAAACCGTATTTGACAGACTATAGATTTAAGTCGACTAGCCTAGTTTTGTATTATTAGCATTACCTCAATTAGTCAATTCTCTTGTAATAATCTAATATATATTTACGGTTTTCTCCCTGATATACATTTATTTATATTGTATCATAACTAACTTTTAAATACAGTATTACGGACATGGTGTTCAAGGAATCTACTCAGTGTGTCGTATTATTCAATCTGTCACTTCTTGTCGTATTCTCTTACTCAATCAAACAATTCAGGAAGCTAGTGACTGATATATATATTTCCTGTTACTACCCGTAGGAGATGCTTGAATATCTAGATGCTCTTTATGTTTGACCTTGATTACCAACTGCCAAAACTGCAGTCAATAAATGTCTGTATTTTGTTTGTGGTGTTGGTAGTCAGTAACAACGTAGAACTTCGTACGTACGTACATCAGTTCGAGTTGCCATACCACACTAGCACAGAGATGCAGTGGTCGATTCAAATCCCGTAGTGGTAGAGGTGGTAAGAGTATAAGCAGTAATCGGAAACATTAGGGTTTGAAGATGTTATTTAAAAAGTATAATCCAGTGAAATAAATTTGGAAGGAGAAAAAAGGAAACAAGGAGGATTCAGGAGATTAGAATTTAGGAGAACACAAAGAGTGGATGCACCTGCGCCATTGCAAACGATTTTGAGCCATGTCATTCAGGGTCTCTAACCATCGGTTGCTATCGTCTCTCAGATCCCAACCAGGTAGTCTACACCTACCAACATGACTCAGTCCACTTGTCAGTGACTTCATGGACGTGTGCCATGTTTTGGTCTGGCTGCCCCTAGCTTTCTTCCAACCTA